TTTCATTGATGATCACACTAGACTATGTTGGGTTTACCTAATGAAAGAAAAATCTGAAACAGGTAGAGTCTTCCAGAATTTCCATTCCATAGTTAAGAATCAGTTTCACACACATATTCAAGTCCTAAGAACAAATAATGGTAGGGAATACTTCCATTCTAGCCTAGGAAACTATATGCCCAGTCATGGAATAATACACCAAAGTTCTTGTGTAGATACCCCACAGCAGAATGGTATTGCAGAAAGGAAAAATAGGCACCTTTTAAAGGTTGCCCGAGCACTTATGTTCACCATGAGCGTGCCTAATTATTTGTGGGGGTAGGCTATCCTAACAGCAACTTATTTGATAAATCGATTGCCTACTAAGATTTTAGAGTTTCGTACTCCTCTCTCCACGTTTCTTCAAACATTTCCTGATTTTAGAGCCTTAAACTCTCGCCCTTTTGGAAGTCTTTAGGTGTACTACCTTTGTTCATGTTCACTCTCATAACAGAGGCAAGTTAGATCTTAGGGCCATTAAATGTGTGTTTGTAGGGTACTCTCTCACTCAACAAGGATACAAGTGTTACTGCCCTATAAGGAAGAAATTGTTTGTCTCCAAAGATGTGACCTTTTTTGAGTCAAAGCCTTATTTTGCCAAACCCTCTCTTCAGGGGGAGAACTCATGGATTGATAAAGAAGATAGTGTTTGGGAAATAACATTTCCCGCAAGTCAAACTCCTACATCTACTCAAAATCCTACATCCACACAGAGACCTCTGAATCAAAACTCACCTTTCAACATGGCTATATCATGTTGCATTTTCTGAAACATGGTGACCAAAAAGTAGAGACCTCTGACTTAGGACATAGAATTGGCGTCTGCCAAATTGTGAAGTTTACAAGCTTTATCAAATCAGACCATTTTGAGATTTACTTGAGTCACTAGGCTTGTCCGTGCTCTATAATTGATTTATTCTTATGTCATTAATTTGTTTTGATATAAGGCATATAAATGTGTCTGCATCTGGCCTAGCGATAAAAGTTATGCTTTCTTGATTCTACATGAGCCCAGAATCTAGAGCTTTGGATCTTGAAGCACATAATAATAATCGAGCTTATGAGAAGCATGACAATATTTCCAAGAGAAGTGAAGAAATGGTTTTTGGAAGGTATGCAATATGCATCTAGCTTCGGCGAGTTGTTCAGTTCATTTAAACATTAAGAATCTCTGTCCCACCAAAGTATAATGCACATATATAACATAATCATCTGGAGTAGGGATTGGGCTTCGGCTATAATCACCTCTTCAAAGTAGAGAAACTGTTTTTTGTACATTGACTTGACAAATATATATTCAAAATTATGTTTTTCAGATTTTCTTTTGGGTTCATATTTAACAATATTTGATTTGATTTTCCTGTTGGGGTTATAGATTCTTCTTTATACGACTAATAATTATTGGGTATGTTTATAAAGTTTCTAATAGAAAGTGGAGGAACTTAAGAGATTGAGAAAGGCTGGTGAATTTGTTCTACTTTTAGGCCTTGTCTTGATGGATTTACAGAGTATAAGAAACTTAAATTACACGTGAGAATTTGGCGGTGCTGCCCTTATTTTTAAGGGACAGCCAATCAAGCATAACCGAAATTTTGCTCAAAAAATGTGAGTTTTTTTTTTTTTTTTTTTTTCAATGTTTGAGAGAACTTTATACAAGTTAAAAATGTTACCTTTCATTTTATTGATTGTTTGATTAGGATGTTGGTGTATCAATTGTACGAGTAATGTTAGTGACATGGATATGTTTCTTGTGATATGAAAGTTACATTTGTTTCATGAAATGCTTTGTTTGTAATATCAATCTAGTTTTCATAGTCTTCATTGTTCTCTAAATTCATATCACAATAGCCAAGAGGGCATAAGACGTCATAGAGATAATGGTGATCGTCATTGTTATTATTTATACCTAAATATTTACTTTTCTCATTTTCTTTATGTTTTTGTAAAACTCCCTTTGAATTAAATATTTTAATAAATTGAAATAATTGATAAAGAATACAATAAGTAATGCACAAATTGACCAAGTTTAGGCCTTATCTCTAGTGTTCCTTACGTAGAGCAACAACAGACCTTCTCCTTCACCAACAAGTGCATCACTAGGTTTCTCAATTGTGACAAGAAAAAAAAATATTGAAAATGCTTTAATCACATACCAAAATTACTTGAGACAAATTTATCTCTCAAACGTCAACATAATTAATGAAATAATTTAAAAATGTAAAATTTCATGAAGTATGAAACAAAAGTACACAACGCCAAGAAAACCCATGAAGAATCAATTTGTAATAACAATAAACTTATATAGATGAATAAATAGTTTATGCTTATCAAAAAATTTCAAAATAACGTATAAACAAACTCAGTAAAAATAAAAAACAAAACAAGTATGCTATTGTTATGATTGGGGAAGATCATTTCCTTATGAAGTGAAGTAGAGAAATCCCATTAGTGGAGGCGTTGGTAGAAATAATATGAATGAAGAGTAAAGCGTGATCTTAAAACTTGGGTTTTCAATTTTGAGATTAAAAGATGAATAAATATAAATAAATAAAGGTTATATCAAATATAGGAGTTTTTTATGAGTCAACCCATAAGTGGCTTGTGGTATTATAATTCTTTGTTTTAAAACCCGGCCTAGTCCGACTCCTTCAACTGATTGGACTAGGAACCCGCCACTGAGTTGGGCCAATCAGGGTGAAAAACAGGAGATAAGAGTTCACCTATTTTGGCCTGTGGTTGGACTGGGGTTACTATAGTAAACCATCGGTCCAACTGGTTTTTTGCCAAAATCGGGTTAACTCTTATTCCCCAATTCTAAAATCTAATTCTAAATCCATTTTACCATTTTCATTCGACAATCGAACCCTAACCTACATTTTCTCTCTTCCACTATCGCTTTCTTCGATCGACCACCATCGCCGACAACACTGTAGTCATCGTCCAACGAGGTACCTATCTCATTTCATCTTCACTTCATCTCACCATGTGTTCATATATGTAAAAGTCTGGGGCATTATATAAAATTTAAACTACATATAGGAAGTTTCATCTCTCCTTACATTAATTATTTTACTTATGCTGCACTTAATCTATATATGTCCAAAGATAAAATCCTAATCAAGTTTTCTAATTGTTGTTTATATTCTTTATATTTTCAAAAAATCATCAAAGAGTTGATAAGTTAAAACCAAATAAAATTAAATCGTAGAAATGGTCGACCGATTTCTATGATTTTCAAAGTCCCTTTTTAGGTATAATGGCTATATTTTTGCACTCCCATATATAAATTAAGCAAAACTCATTCTGAAATAACTTTAAATTCTATGAAATTTAATCTTTTTCAAAACAAAAGAAATCAAACAATCTTATAACAATCTTTCAGAGCTTTCACTTGCAAATTTCATATTCTAAATCAAACCCTTGCTAAATCCTAAACTTGTGTCTTTGTAGATTAGGTTTCTTTGGGTTATACAGTTGTTCAACCACTCTTTCAGAGAGTTTTTCATTGTTTTATCAATCAAATTTCGAGTTGTAAAAGAGTGAGATTCACTCTCAGGTTTCTAGGAAATTCTAGTGAGAGAAAGTAAGTCACAGTGTGTGAGAGAGAGGTTTCAATTGCACCTTGTGAAACAATTGTGTGTAAAGGTTTAATAACACTTGGAGGAAAGCTATTTGTATTGGATTTGCTTGGTTGGGTGATCAACCAAGGGAGATAATAGAATACTCCAAGAGGGATAGCTTAAAAGGAGTGGACATAGATCGGGTTGGGGCCGAACCACTGTGTATTGTTGTGTTTGCTTTTTCTTTTCCCCTATCTCTTTACATTTATGCAATTTATTTTTTTGTTTAAGCATTTTCAATTGCTTGCCATTTGCCGTATTCATATATTGCACTAGAGAAACACCTTTAACTCACTAATAGTTTTAATTTGAGGATATTGTGATAAAGTGGCCTTCGGAGGTTTAAAAGCCTAATTTACCACTCTTTTAGGTCATTTGATCCTTCATTTCTGATAATTGAAAAGTCCAACTATCAGTTTCTTGAGACTTAGGGGGTGTAAATGGAATTAATCTTTATTTTTATTAGAGTAGAGACTGAAACTTCAAGACTGATAGTTAATACCTCGGCTAGTTGGTTGAGTATGATCTAGAGGCAATAACGATTCCCCTTAACAATAAGGAAATCAAAACTCCTTTAGAGATAAGAATATCATGTTGAGAAATTTCAAGTACTTGGAAAATAAACTTGTCCAACTATTTGATGGATTAGATTCATCATATAAAGACTAAATTTATAAAAACATAAGTTGAAAAGTCTTCATTATCTATTAGATGCGAGAAAATAATGCTATTATATATTTTAACTGTTTTTGTTGCTATAGATAGCAATGATTCAATAAGTAGACAAAAATAGTGAAGTAGTGAGTTGAAATGCTCCAACGACTACTTCTTCAATAATACTAGACATACAAATAAATTTTACAAAAATTTGTGTATAAACTGATGTGATAAAAAATGAATGGAAGAATGAATATGATGAGTTTGACTTTTTGTATTTACTCTTTCATTTATTTCCTGTCACATCAGTTTATATGCAAATTTTTGTAAGAATTGCTCGTATATCTAGCATTATTGTTACTTTCTTAAACATTAAATTTTTATTGAAGTACTGAGGGTACCAATTTACTTTGACATGTTTACTAATGTTTAACTCTTCTAGAAAAAATGAAATTTGGAATGAGATAGGGTTAATTTGGTCCTCTTACCCCTCTAACATTCTTACATGGAAGTCAGATGACAGAAAAGCAAACGGCAAATTCACGTCAGCAGGGCATTGTAATTTTCAATACCTGAGGGGTAATCTGTTATTTTATATTAAACATGTTTCTAGTAAGGCTATTCCTGTAATAAAGTATTTTAAGGATGGTTATTATTGTAATAAAAGTATTATATACTACGATCGGAGTTTTTTATTTACGAGTTGTGGTAAGAACTCTGAGAGTGTGTTTCTGCAGCGTCTTGGAGCAGAAGGTACGATTCTAAGCTGACCTTTATTTCTCAACAATTGTTTTCTCTTAAATTCTTCTGGTTCGTATCGCATCTTTGGTTCTATGTAATTTAATTTTGTTTTATCAATTTGTTATTTAGTGCTATTCAATGATTGTGTTTGATGCATTTTGAATCTTATTTTGTGATATCTACTCGACGGTGTTGTATGGGTCTTGATAATCGTGTTCCCCTGGTAATCCGTGATCAAGTAATGTAATTCAATTATTAATACTGATTTTTTAGTGAAATTTAAGTCATTCCTATTTTTTGTTCTTTTATTTTTAATAAAAGTCTGAATAATTGTGTAATTTTAACCTTTCTTATTACCTGTTATTATATTATCGGTTATTGATTTTATGTTTTGATACTTCGACTCTGTTACGTTTTGATTACAAATTCTATATGTTTTGTTGTAATTAACTAGCTTTTTATGACCTTTACAGAACATTACTGAAGCATTTGAAGAAAATTGTGATTATACGAATCGGTTTTGCTAGTTGAAAAAGATGAAAAGCCAAAGTGGTTATGTGCCGCCTCCTTATATTCCATTGGGACAGTCAGATTCAGAGGCTGAGATTGTTCCACGCAAAGAAGAGCTTGCGGTTCCTCATCACCCGGCTGATGGACCAGTGCAGTGGTCGTCTGGGATCTGTGCTTGTTGCGATGATATGCAGAGCTGTATGCTACTTTATGCCCTGTGACCTTGATTTTATCAGAAGGAAAATTATGAAGGTGCCACTTAAGTTTAAAAATGAACAAATAAAACTGTTTTTGCTCTATTCTCTTTTGCATTTTTAGTCACAAAAATAAGATTTTTTTTTTCTCTTTTTAAACTTTTTGTTGAGAAATGTCATTGTCACTGGATATTAATTAATAAAACAGCTACGTTTGTAGTTAATAGATGTTAGATGTGTAAAGGATCCAGAGAAACTGTGAATCATCTTTTACTCCGTTGTTCGGTTGTTGTTTGATTATCAGGCCTTATCTTGTCACTGTTTGGTGTCTATGGGGTTATATTATGCTCATTGAATAATTTGTTAGTTTGTTGCATATGAAATTTGGGATAAGAAGAGTTTATTGGTATGGGGAGCAGGACCATTTGGTTGATGTGAAGTATTTTGTTGGACAGAGGCTGTGTGCTTTTCACGGGATTGAAGCTCTTTCTTTTCTTACTACAGTGTCGTATTTACTCCATATCTGTTTTACACCATAAACGGTTTTTTATTTATTTATTTTCAACATTACACTTTTCGACTTTATTTATTTAGCTTTTAGGCATCTTGTCTTGTAACCCTTAAAATTTTGGGTGATTTCAGCCTTAACTTGGTGTACCCAAAATTTTCTCTTTTGAAGAAATTTTAATTATCAATGGACACATATATATGTATGTATTTTCAGATTGTGATTCATCTGAAAGTATGAGAATATTATAATCCAAAGTAAGAATCCTGACTGGCTTCTTTTGTTTTCTTTGTGCAGGTTGTTTAGGTCTATTCTGCCCTTGGTTTGTGTTTGGAAAGAATGCAGAGTTCTTGGGTTCAGGAACTTTTGCTGGATCATGCATGACCCATTTTATTTTGTGGGCTTTTGTCAGAACTATATGTTGTTTGTTGACTGATGGCATTTTGTTGGGGTTGCCTGGATGCTTTGTTGCATGTTATGCTTGTGGCTACCGCAGGGCACTACGGGCAAAGTATAATCTGCAGGTATTACTTTTAGGTGTATTTTTTTGTATGCAGTCTCATCATGTTTGATGGATAAAAAGATATATATTAATGATGAATAGATTACAAAGAAATGAACCATTATTCCAGACAAAAGACCTATAAATTACTAGGAACAAATGTTTATAATAACACCTATCTTAAATCAACACAGCTGGCTAATCTCTGTAGATGAAGCAAAATTTTCCTTGCCAACTAAGATTCTAAGAAATACTTTCTCCCACAGGAAATCAATTCTCCAATCAGTTGAACTTTTTTAGAAGTTCTTCTATTCTTCTTCATCAAAATCACCCAAAAGCAGGAATAACAGTAATTCCATTAACCTGCAGCTTTTACACTACCACAAGGTCATCATATACAGTCTCATCATGTGAAGAGCTTCTTTGAACCATCACTTTTAACTGTTGTAATTATTGTATTCATGTGTTAACTATGCATCTAATGAAGCAACTGATGATGCACGAACGTAATGGAGGACAGTTTTGAAATATTAGGAGTTTTATAATTTAGATTGGCAAACAAAAATCAGGGTTTGACATTCAACTAGGATTTCAGAAGTCAATTATTTGATTGTTTCATTTAAGAATTTTTAAGTGATTAGTTGCTTTAATTAGTGAGATAAATAGTAATTGTTAGTAGTCATTGCTGTAATTTAAACTTTGATTTGGAAAGCCGAAATTCCTAGTAAGGTGAAGATTTTGGCTTGGTCTAGCTCTTTGCAAAATTAATAGTATTTTCGTTTCTCCCTTGTGAGTATGAAAGTGTACACTACCTCTTTTCGCAATGTCCTATTGCTTTACACTTGTGGATGAATATGATTTATGCCTTTAATCTTTGATGGGTTGCCTCTTCCTCTTTTTGTTCTATTTTTTAAGAAACACGTTATGTTGTTGAGGGTAATTTAAAAGGCTAAAATTATGTGGGGTTGTGCGTTTTTGGCTTTTTGGGGGGTTATCTTCCTAGAAATAAATGGAAGAATTTTTTTAAGACAAAAGTGGAGAGGACGCTCATTCTTTATGGGACAAAGCCAAGTTTTGGGCTTTCTTATGGGTTTCAGTGTCTTCTGAATCGCAAGATGTGGATTTCTTCTTCATTCTTCATAGTTGGGAAGCAACAATTTTTTGATATACTTTATCGACTTTAGGACCCTTTTATTATGTTCTAGTCTGTTGTTTTTCAGTCTTTTGTTTGTGTTGAACTGTCTTGTCCTCTTTTTTGTAGCCTACTTGTGGCAAACTTTTTCGACTTCTGTAAATTTCTTTTATTGAATATATCAATCAGTTTCTTATCAAAAGAAAATAAGTTAAACTTTGGGTTATGAGGGGAAAAACCATGAGCAAAGAACTGGAAGAAGAAAGTTACTCCGAAAGACCCACATGTTCTCAGATTCTCATTAATCAATTTAGGTAATTTTGAAAGAACGGACATGTTTTGCTGTTTTAGTTCCCTTGTTTTTTTTATTGCTTGTGTTCACGATGTTATGCTGTTAGCTTAAGTATTTAGGCAAGTATGATCCGGGTCTTGTCATCCCCATAAACACCTAAATTTATCACGGGTAACCTCATAATCTTAGAGTTATTCCACTTGGTGCATAGAGGGAGAAGATTCACCTAGCGTTTATGAAATTCAGCACGAGTAAGAAATAGAGGACATGATGGATACTCTTTTTTTAATTGTTTCTTCTATACATAAAATTACATACTGTTCCCTTAAAAAAAAAAAAAAAAAAAAACCCAAAAAAAGAAAAAGGTAAACTGACCTAGACATATTTTTGTTGAATGACGCAATTGGTGCTGGGGTCTGATTTTATAGACTTGACTCTTATCTTGGTATTCTTAAGACCCATAGAATTATAAAATTTTCATGATAAACAGGACCTAAACTGGACTAAACCCACTGTGCTTCAGTGGAGGTAGAAAAGCTGGAGGTTATGGAATCATTCTGGTAAACATAAGGATTTTTTTACATTATGAGGTGGGAAAGGAGTTTTAAGTTTTTTGGGATAAGACTAGACATTGAGCATCTTTGTAGGCTGAAGGTTTTTGCAACTCTTGAGACATTTCATTTTCTTTCATCTATCATAAGTTGTATGGGTAAAGGGTGTTATGTTTTATGTATATATTTTATTTCTGTTTGTTTTTCTTGAAGTTTGGTTTACAGCTTATTCACCATGTTCTTTTGTAACCACCCTTTTTGAGGATAAGTAAATACAGTTCCTTTTCTTTCTTGTTGAAAGAATTAGTTAGAGATAAAACTGGCAATTTGATCATCAACTTCCTTTTCTCTGTCTATAATTAAATGGGAAAGGTATCTAAATACCTCTGCACTAATAGTTATCTATGAATGATTATCATTTTAATAATAGTTTAGACTGGTTCAAAAATCAATTTTTGGCCATAACGCCTGATTCTTATCTTATGTTGGTGTCTAGGATTCCTAAAACCTGCTGAGTTTTTTTTTTAAGAAAATTAATTGACTACTTTCAGCTTAGATAAATTTTGTGGCAGTTCGTATTAATGCCTTGCAGTAACTCAAAATGTTGTTTATAATGACTAGTTCTGCTCATATTTACTGTCGTCATGATAAATGAATTGTCATTTGATTTATGCTCTATAATGAAATTATTGTTCTAAAGAGTTGTCTCTGGTTCTCTATTTCTTGATGTCTAATCCAGGAAGCACCATGTGGAGACTTTGTTACACATTTCTTCTGCCATTTGTGTGCCATTTGTCAAGAATACAGGGAGATTCACGAAAGATCTGGTGATTCCAATCCCCCCGATCTCAAGTTAGCTGTAGTCACAGCTCCGCCGACACAGACAATGGAGTCAACTTCTGAGCAATAGTACAGCTGTGTTGATGCCTAAACTGGGACCAGAACCTCTTCTGGATTGTACGCAGTTTGTGATGGCCTCTACCAGATTATGTTCTAGCTACCAGTTTATTCCTTCAATGCATTTTCTCTATAGTTGAGGAGTATATTTTGTAGAATTTCCGTACAATTTGTTGTCGGGATTACCTATTTTGAACAATGATCGTATACCAAAATCTGAATGAGTTGTAGAAGTGCAAGGACCAAACGTAAACTCGTTAGTTTCTCTCTCTGGTAGGAATCGATGACAAGCTCAATTGTTTCAACTTGTTCCAAGCAATTTATTTCAATCTTGGAGTTGTAACCACACTGTTTATTCATGTATCGGATGCTGCATAACATGTGTTAGTTTGATCATTGATGTGTCTGGCCAGGTACTGATTTGTCGTTAGGTTTGGGCCTATTTTTTTTTTTATAATGATTTGGTACACAAGGATTGTAACTCTTATGGTCGTTTGGTTGGCGGATTGACAGTACAAGAGCGTTGGGGCTTGTTTTTTTTTTTGCTGGCGTTTGGCCCCATTTTTATTTGCATTGGATCTCTTAAAAAAGAAAAAAAAAAAAACTCTACACTAATCAGAGCAAAATTAACCCCTCAGGCCCCACGGGTTAAAATGCACATCATATTTCAAAAAAATTGTAATATATATTTTCAAAATTGGGTTCCTTAATTGAAATATTAATATTTAAATAATATTGAAAAGATTCAAAACTGGCAGTGGTTCGCTAAAAAGCTATAGTCGTGATTTTCGTGACTATTGCTGGAGACACATCCGGCCACAACGTCATACCGGCAGCCGGCAGGTAGATTGGTTGGCAGCCTACCCAAAGGTGGTAAGGAGAAGCGTCGCACAACAGTGTTTTTTTCAGAAAAAAAAGGGAAAAGATTTTTTTTTTTTTAAGTAGGGAAAAAGATTTAACGCATCTTTTTTGGCTTTTTTTTAGCCAAACACATTGCCGCAATTCTCTGATTACCATCATTGGGGGTGCCAATAGTGTTGTCGGATGCATTTTTTATGACATGTCAATAACAACATTATGATAATCTTGTTGAACATTCTTAACTTTTTTTTTTTTAAATTTTTATTAAATTGTTAATCTTATTTATTAAATATTTAATGAAATAATTATTGTAACTTTTTTAAATAATTAATCAATATTAATATGGTGTCACATGTGCTTTTCTATTTTACTCCAATTTAACATGAAAAATAAAACAATCCAGCACATTGCGTTAGAAAATTCATGTTATTGCTTGGACTCATATCTTGTTGTTAGAGCCCTAATAAATTAAATACATGTTAAATACCAAGACTTATTCCATACAAGTAACACCAAAGTAGTTTTTGCACTCTTTCATGTACTAGGGGATTTCACTTGGAAAAAAAAAAAATATATATATTTCATACTATAGATTTGGTTCAATGCACAAGATCTGTAGCACTTACAAATAAGGTCTTATCAATTAGTATTACAAAGAAGAAATCAAGTATAGATACCAATACAATTCGATCCTCTTCATACACCTGGAATTTGCTAGTTATTATCATGGACTTGTAAAATGATTGCCTAATTCTTCAATAACTAATGTGCTCATTAGCGTAGACACCCAAAAGGATATCTAATTCTTCAATTACTAATGTGTTTTCAAAAGTATAGGGTTTAGAATTTCGAGAGATTGTTTTAATTTTAAATAATCAAGAATAACCCCTTCCTTGGTCATATACTTTTAAGGGGGCGTTTGGTTCAGGAATGTTAGATTACTGGAAAGATGATATCTTGAGATTATTGGGAATCTTTAGGAAATGTGTTTGGTTAATTGGTGGGTAGTTATATTAATATATTTGGTTAAGAATAAATTGATGAGTATGTTATTTTAATTATTGAATTGTCCTTTAATTAAATATTTTTATTATTATTATTTTTTTAATATTATTATTATTTGGATTATTATAACCCCCCTACATTTAAAAACTTAGCAAAAACAACTCCATAATAAAAGTTTAAAAAATCAATAAATACCCCCCCAACCTAGTCACTGCCGGCCGTCGGCAACCACCGCAGGCCATCGCAACCTAACGGCGCACCAAAATTTGGCCGAAAATGGCCAAATCTGGCCGTCAACGACCATCGACCTGGCCATTGACGGCTAGATCGATGACGGATCTGGCCTAAGAGTAGAGCTGGGCATTTGGGACCGAGCCCAAAGCCCAGCATCAAAACTCGGTCCTAGGACTGGTCATCTCAAGATCGGTCCTAGGTGGCCTGGTCCCAAACGGGACCAGGCCTAAGGAGGAGGGCTGGGCCCAAATTTTTTTTGTATTTTATCATTTTAATCCTTTGTAAAATTACATTAAACCCCTTAAATAGTATAAATTATAAGGGCTAAAATTTTTTTTACAAATTTATTAAAAAAAGAAATTTAACTTTTTATAACCGTTGGCTGCCAACGGTCATAAGAGCACCAACGGTTATAAACTTATAATTATTTATTAATTATAAGTTTTTTTTTCATTCCCCCTCCTCCCCCCCCCCCCCAACTACACTATAAATAACCCTAAAACCTTCATTTTTTTTCACACCAATCAATCTCTCATTCTTTCATTCTCTCAATCTCTCTACTTCAAATCTCCAATCAATTTCTCATTCAATTTATTATAATTTATTCATATTATTATTTATATTATTCAAATTTTTTTCTATTTTTCAATATCATCATAATTTAATATTATATTTAATTTCTTTTCATTTTATTATTTATTATTTTATCATAAATTTATGTCTTCCCCAAATGAGTTTTATGTTCCATCACCGAAGAATTGAAGCCTTCAATCCATTTTCACAATTTGCTCCAGAGGAAGCAGCTGTAATTCCATAACACACTTCGGTCAGGACAGGTGTAGCAAACACATGCGACTGCGAGTCAATGGGCACGAACATAGCCCAACCCCCCGACCGTCAAAGAGGGTTGTGTCCGATGTCTGGCGATACTTCACCAAATCAAAACGGCCAAAGACAAATGGGGAGGAGAAGAATCGTGTGGGATATGTAATTTATATGGAACCATTATTGGCGCTGAGAAGGGGACTTCGACGATGCAACGACACGTAGAGAAGAAGCATCCCCAAATAATGCATCTTCAAGTGGATCAGGTAGACAAATTCAAACTCAACTTAATTTTAATCCACAATCCTCAACTCTTTTAACATGGCAATACAATACACATGTTGCAAGAGAGAAAATAGCAATATATAGTTGCTACGACTCTCCCATTTGTTTATCTGAAAATCGTTTTTTTGTTAATATGTTTAAAACTGCATTTTGTCTAGCATATACCCCTGTTAGTAGAAGTACAAGTAGAAGGATATCTAAAACTTTATAACAAAATAATAATAAACTTAAAAACGTTTCAAAATTTTAGGAATATATCTTTGCACTTACATAAGACATATGAGCTTGTAGATCAAAAACCGAATTTTAAACTGTCACAGTACGTTCTTAATCATAATTTGGGTTTACAACAAAATTGATAGGTTTTAAACCATTATAAAAACATAGTGCTGAAACTATTTATTTTACAATTCTTGAAGTTTTGCAAGAATATTTATTAACTGATAGAGTTTGTAGCGCTAACGCTTGATAATGCACGCTGCTAACACCACGACAATCTCTTTATTTGAAAGAAATTGGATCACTCGGTGAGGCAAATTTTATCACCAGAGATGTGCTTATCACATCATCAATTTGATAGTTAAAGCAGGTTTAGATGTATACATTCAAAGATGGAGAGGTGGCATAGAGCTATCGGATTTATCGTCGGCGGTAAATAAAAGATGGCAGGAGTACGTCAACATTGTTAGCAAGGAGCCACCGGTTCGACCTTTGAAGTTATGTACAGACACCTATCCGTTGGAACTCTACCTACTTTATGTTGGAAAAAGCTTTGCCAACCGCAAACAAATTACAGATTTCGTCAATCGAAGAACTATCCAGAGGAAGTTGTCAACTATGATGATTGGGCAGTTTGGTGAACTTTTTTATTCATTTCTTAAAATTTTTATGATGCTACTATACATTAAGTGGTATTTATTATCCAACTACTAATTTAGTGTTAGATATTTTAGTTCAAATTGCTAAAACTTTTGCTCAATATAGATATGATAACATTTAGTGAATTGTTTCAAGTATGGAAGAAAAATATAAAGATATTGGTTAGATATTCCACTCTTATATGGATTAGGCCTTTTTCTAGATCCTAGGTTTAATTATCCGTAGTTACGTGTATTACGGAGTTATGCCATATTTAGGACATGATATACGTCTTATTTGACTGACTTAAACACAAATTGGATAAACTTTTTTCTTTATATGAGAACAGGTACAATGGAAGTGGGAAGGGGAAGTGGAACGTCTAGCGAGGCGATCAGGACCTTGATGCAGCCCCCCCTCAAGGATCGAGCAAGTGGGCGTTTGTGGAACGTGGCGAAGCTCCAGCTCTAGCTTGTACAACACAGACCAAATGAATGACTCGCTACCTACAGGTGGACTTGACCTTTATGACGATGAAGGAGCAACTTGACATGGATATTCTTCAATGGTGGAACCAACATGAAAGTTATTCCCCATTATATCCCAAATGGCACGTGACATTTTATCTGGCCGGTTTCTACAACAATTGCATCAGAGTCAACTTTCAACGAGTGGTCGGATGTGTGAGACAAAGTTGTTCTTTAACCGATGAGATGATTGAAGTGATAACGTGTTTACGAGATTGGACTCATGCAAAAAAGAAGACTACAACAGCACCCTGAAGATCCCGAACTACTCGAACTCTTTAGGAATAACAGATTTGAATAATGTAACTAGTGTTGACGATGAAATTGAAGATGATAATTTAATAAAAAAATTTATTTAATTGTTTATTTGTGAAGCGTGAATGTGTGAAATGTGAATATTACATTTATGTTAAAATTAAAATTAACTATTAATTTATTATTTTTAAAATTAATTAAATTTTTAGAAACTTACTAATCAACCCCTATAAAATCTAAAA